CATACTTATGACACTTCTATGACGATAATTGTGACAAAAACCGGTATCATCATAGATGTGGTGGGCTCCTACTTCTATGACAAAAAATCATGACAGAAAATGGGCTTTTCGTTCTGGGCGGGCCGGAGATGCAGCTGCATGACATTATTTGGGCCGTCCATGATGGAAAAAATCATGGTAGAAGCGAGGGCGTGGAAAATATCGGGGAGTTCCCAGTTACGGTGGGTGGTCGGGGCCCGAGCGATGCGCGTTTCTCTCGTACCGTATGCACGTGGGTGTGAGGCGTTGAGCTCTAACTGAACCCTAGCGAGGCATCGCCTAACTGAACCCGATCGATTGCACTGCAGGCTACGCGTTACTGAACCCGAGCGATCGAGCGATTCCTTCGCTACTGCTGCTAACTGAAGCCGATCGATGCTGCCTCTGGATGAATAGTGAGTGTTGTTGGGGGGGGGTTGGATGAACAGTTCTCGGTGGGGGTGGATGAACAGGCCCCCGTGGTGTTGCCTCTGGATGAACAGGACCCCGATCGAGCCGGTTGGGGCTGGATGAACAGGACCCCGTGGAGGGCTGGATGAACAGGACGACCCCATGGAGGGCTGGATGAAAAGTAGGCCGTGGAGGGGTGGTTGAATAGGAGCCCGTGGAAGGACTGGTTGAACAGTAGCTGGTGGAGTAGCGTGCAGTGGAGGCTAGATGAACAGGAGCCCGTGGATGAACAGTCACAACTAGAGGCTGGAGGAGGTCAACGGTGGATGAACAGTAGCCCGTGGAGGCTGGAGGAGGTCGTGGTGGAGATGAATAGTATCTTGCGGAGTCCCATTTTGCGGTACGCCACACCCCTCCCGATGAACAAGACCCCCGTTACGACCGTAGCACTCCAACACAAGTCCGTTTCCTCCGTTTTGCGGTACGCCACACCCCCCCCGATCAACAGGACCCTGTTTCGACCGTAGGCGGTCCAACAGAAGTCCATTTCCTCCGTTTTGCGGTACGCCAGACCCCTCCCAATGAAAAGGATCCCGTTTCGACTGTGACCGGTCGAACACAAGTCTGTTTCCTCCGTTGTGCGGTACGCCAGGCCTCGTTTCCATCGGATGTTCCGTCCAAGCCCTCCCGATGAACACGACGACGCATTCCGTTCTGACCCAGCCGGTTGGCTCCGCATGAACACGATGACGGCGCAGTTTCTCCATTCCGACCAAGCCATGTACACGAGCCCTGGCCGTACGTATGCGCGAGTGGGCGTTCGAGACCCCGCCCGTATGTACGTGCGTGATCGTATTTAATTTCTTGCACCCTGGCCGCTATACGTACATGCATATGCTACGTGCACGCCTCTACTATGACACGTGCGCGTCTCTACATCGACCAGTATGTACATGCACATTCGTGACCAGAATGTCAATGCTACGTACGCTTCGACCAGGTGGGTCTCGACTGTCAGGCACTTCCTTGCGTGCGAAGATGTAGCTGGTGGGTCCCAACAGTCAGGGGGGCGAATCATTTTTTTGCCCGGACGCACTCCCTTGCATGCGAAGATGTAGCTGGTGGGTCCCAGCAGTCAGGGGGGAAACGTTTTTTTTCGTGAAATACAGTGGCCCGTCCGGTGGGTTCCTGCTGTCAGGTAGAGGAATAATTATTTTGCGCGTAATAAGGAGCCAATTCCTTGTGGCTGTCGTGGACCCAACTGTCAGCCTATCAACGTACAGTACTCTTCCGATGGAAGTCGTTCCTTGACCATGTTAACCACGCCGCTCCGAGAGCACCAGGACGATGTACGACGGCGAGGCCTAGGAAGGGGACGACGCGAAGCCGGGGAAGACGCGGCAGTGGATGCCCATGCATAGAGAAGTATGAGGGTTCACTGGTTCAGCTACGGTGTGAGGCTGCCATCGCCGCAGAATAATAGGGGGTGTGGGTGAGTAGAGGGATGGCTTGGCTAGCGGTGGAAGTAGTAGGGGGCGGTTAGGCCTCTGCGGCATCACAACCGGCCACGGGAGGCAGGAGCACGCGTCATGACCGACGCTGGTTTGGGCGGCTGGAGCAAGAAGACCAGAGGTTGAAGAAGCACTACGGCCGTTCGATGGACATCGTACGGTCACTGGAGCTAGAATCGTTCATATTGACTAAGTTGACAAAGCCCTCCATCCCCGCCAACTTAGTAGGCCCACAAGTCAACCTCCCACCAAGGTGGGTCCCAGCTAGCAGGGGGCGTATACATTTTTTTTGTGCGTAATAAGGAGGCACTTCCGGTGGGTTCGAGCTGACATCGGGAGGGGGACATTTTTTTTGCGAAATACAAAGGCCCTTCCGGTGGGTCCCAGCTGTAAGGTGGAGGAATCATTATTTTGCGCGTAATAAGGAGGCATTTCCTTGTGTGGGCCCCTACTATCAGCCTCTTCCCATGGCTGTTGTTTGTTGACCATGTTGACGTCACCGCACCGAGAGCACAAACGCGGTGGAAGAGGGTGAGGCCCAGGATGGAAACCACCAGGAGCCGGCGAAGCCACCGCAACAGATGCCCACGCAGACTGGTCGGCTGCGAGGTGAGGATGGCGTCACCGGAAAATAACAGGATGTGTGGGTGGTTAGAGGGATGGCGTGGCGGTAGCACAGCCAGCCATGAGAGGAGGGAGCAGGCAGTCCCGCCGGCGCTGGTTTGGGCGGCTGGAGCAGGAAGATCAGAGATTGAAGAAGCAAGGCAGCCGTTGGATGGACATCCAACAATCACTGCTCTGTGTTGACTAAGTTGACAAAGCCTTGTGTACGCGCCAAAATTGTGTTAGGACAACGTCATCGTCAACCTAGTAGGCCCAGAAGTCAGCCTCCAAATCTGTGGAAAACAGCGTACATCCCATTAGCCATTATTTTCAATAATTTACAACCCATTTGCTAATTCTTAAGGATATTTGAAGCCCATATTCTTTTTATTTGCATTACAGACTATATATTCTGGGCACTGCTAAATTCAACGAAATTTTGCATATTTCGGTGGGATCCAAACTCTTTTAATCACAAAATTTCGAGTCACGTTAAAAATAATTTTTAAAAAATTATATCAAAATAAAATTGAAAAAAAATTCTCCTTAAAAAATGAATGAAATTTAGAATCTTAACTAGCAAGATGCCCGTTCGTTGCACGAAACATGAAGATGCATTTGTATGAGTAGTTTATCTTGTGGGAGAAAATATGATATTTTAATGTAATTGCCAGTTGGCTTTGGTTTTTATAAGAGTAGAGAGTAGAGAAATCCTAAAAAAATATGATATTTTAATGCAATTGTCGGTTGGCTTTGGTTTAAAAATTTACATCCCATTTCTTACAACTTATAGCCCATTTTCTAGGGAAGCCCATTTCCTACTACTTACATCCCTCCTTTCTTGAAAGATTTGCAGCCAAGCAGGGCTGAGAAAAGCAAGTAGGCCTCGGTTTTGGTATTCTACAAAAAAAAACTAGGCTAGCCATTTTTAGAAAGAAAAAAAATATATCAACTAGGCTCGTCATGTGCTTAAGTAAAAGCATAAGCGTGGGCTAGACGGGCCACACCCCCTGCACAGCGTGCAGTTGAGCTCCGTCTCTGAAACTAAAAAAACAACTGGGCGAGCTGCTGGGTCCCTGGTGTTATCCACTCATTGTGTAATTTTCTCATTTATTGACTACATTGACAATGGCGTGGGACCTAGTTGTCAAACAATTAGGAGGAAGTATTTTTTGGCTTGTAATAACAAGGCACCTGCTTGCGAAATTCAATGAACCTTGTGGGTCCCTACTGTCAGCCTCTCCACATACAGTGATCTCCTAATTCATCTTGGTTGTTGACCATGTTGACAACGCCAGACGGCGATGGGCACAACGAGCAAACTAAGTCGGAGAACGACGGCGAGGCCTCGAACGGGAACGAACAACAGCCATGGAAGATGCGGCAATGTAGTGGCAGGTGGAGGGGAGTACAAGGAAAACAACATGCAACTCAAGCATACAAATGGTACGAAAAGCCCAAGGA